CGCTACCCGATACACCCAGTACAGCCTGACTCTGTTACACAGTCGGCTGCGCATGCGTTGATGTCGAGGTAGAATCTACTGAAAAATAGATCAACTCTCGCGAAGTTAAACTTAACCGTTAGGAACTGTACAGGAGAAGAAAGGCATTTTTGGCCCTCATACCTCTTGAATACGATTATATCTCTCTTGTATTTTTAAGTTTTAACCCTGTAAAAAAGGAGTAAAGTATCTGCGTGTATATCTTACGAGATTTACATTTTAACAGTTATCCATCCATAAATCTGCCCCCGTGGTTTTATGCACCTCGCATAATTAATTAGCAAAATTTGATCATATTTTGAATAATTTCTGATTATTTTCCTTTATCATTCTTTGTTTTTTTAAAAACCCAACAGAATCGCGTAACTACACTTTTTGGGGGCTAAGTTTTGCATAATTTCAGAATTTTTCTTGCATAAAACGACGGGGACATATACATGTTTATTTTACGTATCTTTGAAAATGGGGTTTCAAGTCATTCGCATCCATTTTTATACTTGATTTTCATGCTTTCTTTTGGTTTTGAACTACTATAATCACTACAATAGCTACATGAATTATATTTTAATTTCTATTTCCCCAAGTTTGAGTGTTTTTGTCTAGGAATAATTATGTTAAACACGTTTGATTTTCAACAACATTTTTCATGTAGTGTGACCATGAAACAGCGCACACGTCACGATTTTTACAAGTGCAATAAATATTTGAAACCTCATATCTCAGGTGTTTGTAGATGGATTTTGATAATTCTTTTTTTTTTTTTTTATATATAGTTCTTGTTTCACTGAGTACTGTGAGGAAATATAGTCTTGTTATGGTATTCTTCTAAAAAATGTTTCACTTGTGGTGCCTAAGATCAAGAAGAGGCGCTGTATCCGAAAATAAAGATCAACTTAATCCAAGATTAACTCAAGCGAGCTCAACACAACTGGGGTCGACTGTACCTTTTTTTTTTTTTTTTGTAATTAGTGTTTTACGGCACTTGCAACACAATACGGTCGTATAAGTGCCGAAGAATAGAGGTGTTAACAAGAGAGTAACAAACACAAAAAAAGAAGGAGGGGAGATAAAGTCGATACATAGGCATATAACATTTTAAAAAAGAATTTGATAGGAAAGGAGGAGCACCCGCCAACCGTCCATTCTGTTGGCGTGTTTCTTGATTTATTCATTTTGTTCGGCGATTTAAACAACAACAGCAACAGCAGCAGCAACAACAGCAACAACAACAACAACAACAACAA